CTGTAAAATATACAATTCGCTATATTGGTAAAAATTACTTGATTGTCATATGATAATCGATAAAATTACATACACTGTAAATCTACGACATATAATATTCCACTATTTGTAATGTGCTTTAATATTTTTATTTAATTTATGATTAAATTTTATCAATAGTTTTATAATTATATTGTACTTTTATTAAGATAAATAAATTAAAATTACTCACTCTCTAAAAAATTATATTTGATATATTAAATTATTTACAATGTTATCTTCCGAAATAAAGGATGCAGGCTATTTTTCTATAATGGCTGATGACACTCGTGATGTTAGCTCATATGAGCAATTTAGTATATGTGTTAGATATGTTGATAAAACAAAAACATCAAAGGAATCTTTTATTTCTTTTGAAAAAGTTGAAGACTTAGATGCAGAATCATTAACAAAGACACTAATAAAAACTTTAAAATAATTCCATAAATGCAATTTGCGGCTCAAGCATATGATAGTAAAATTGTTATGAAAGGGCATCTTTCTGGAGTCCAGGGATATCGGAAAAATCACAAAATGGCTATGTGCTCTGTTATGCGCATAAACTCAACCTTATATTGATCTCTGCCTGCAAATTAACCACAGTCTAGGCAGTCTAGGAAGTTTTTTAATGTATTAGAAGGTATTCATGCTTTTTTCTCAATATCTGTTATCCATCATAATAAATTCCTTGATTTACAATTAAGATTAGGGTTCCAAAAATATTGATGCATTGTGTTTTACACGTTTGAGATCCCATATTAGGAGATAGAGGCAGTAAAAATGACTTTCCCTGCAATTATTTCTTGTCTAGAAAATATAGAACATGGTGATATGGTAAAAGCAAAGGGAATTTTAATTCTTTTACAATATGATACAATTATGTGTATGTTTATAATCCAAAAATTATTATCCATGTGTTCCAATATTTCAATTTTTTTGCAAAAACCTGACTCGGACATATCAACATTGGTCTTATTGAGTCTCTTATTATTTCTTTATTAAATTTAGATAAGAAAAGAATGAGATAATTGTTGTAATGTACACTTTTTTTAATGTATATTTTATTTGATAAAGTGATTTATTTTAACAGATGTATTAATTTTTATGTAAATGACTGATGATATTTATTACATTAACGAAATTGTGAAAATCACTTTTTCATATTTTTATAAACCTTTGATTTAATTTAATTTTATAAAAATATATAAATAAAGTTAACAAAATTTTATCTCAGAGAATCGCCATCAGAGGCGATACTCTTATACCAATAAAATATATACGTTAATTTAAATGTTAAATTAAATAAAATTTCAATAATTATATTTGAATCCCCATTAATTATAAAACGATGTAGATTCTTTTATTCAATTTATGAATACTTCTTTATACTTTATATTCGATTATATGAAAATAATAAAATTAAGTGATAAATAAATTCATCAAGGGAGGGGAAAAAAATAAAGAAAGGGTTATTTATAAGGATTGGAGATTCTTCATTATTTAATATAATATAAAAATAACAATTAAAAGAACAAATATACCTTCTACCATTTTGAATGATTCTATTCAAATAGATGATATTGTTTCTCCTAATTATTCTGATCAAACAGAAACTTTTTATGAGTGTTATATTTTTTATCCAATTTTGGATATGATGAAACAGATATATTAATAACTATAAGTGCTTTACATCCCTCCTCCCCCCTTTTTTCAAATAGTGATATCATGAAATCATTTATCTTACATTATAATATTCCTGATCCAATGGAAGAATAGGCATTATTAGTGGTTTATATTTTAACATATACGAACCTCTGTGTAAATCAATAATATTTGAAAAATCGTACTCATATATATCCCTCTTGTATATAATTTTAAAATTGCGCTAACTATACCTTTTAATTCCTGCTCATGTGAAAGGTCGTTTTGACCATTAAAACGGGTGAAAACATATATTCGGTCATGGATCAGGAACGATTAAATTCATTGATCTGAGCATAGAAAAAAATATAAATAATAAAATTCCTATGGATCACATTATAAATGAATATGCAACAATGACAAACCAGTGTAGAGAACTTATTTTATCAAATAACCTTATAATTTATATTTTGAAGCTCAATTTAGGGCGTTAGTATCTGCGAGTAAATATATCGTTTAATATTTATTTTATAAAATCTTTAATCATTATCCAAAATTAGCTAAAAGACATAATATTTATAAAAAAATTCTTTTTGAGATAGGAAAAAATCAGAAACCACTTTCTTTTGATATTACCAAATTTGTTTCTAAAAAAAAATAATTAGAAATATTTGAATACATTAACAATACAATAATATATAAGATCTTAATTGCTTCCATCATATCACTCTGGTCCTTATTTTCTAGCTACTAAATAATTTATTTCTAATATGGCATCCCTACCGTGTAAATAACTCAAGGCTTCAAAATATTTGCATTATTCTAATAGATTTTTAGTGTTTTTGTTTATCAATTTTTATAGCATAATAAATTCGGATAAGAGTATCGTGAGGGTCATGGCTATGACTATACCTACAAAAACGAATAATAAAATGATTATTCGATTCGATTCGTCGAATATTTGATTCAATTTAAAAATATTAAAAAGATAGAATATTAAATTTATTTTGTAAAATTTAACTATGGATAAAAGACATTTATTAGTAAAATAGTATAGAAGCATATATATACACATAGTATTTTTATATATAATGTAGTAAAATCATTATAATATTCATAGCATGAAAAAGACAAATATATCAACAAAAAATATTTTAAACAAAAAGTTTTTGCAAAAAGTAAAATTTATGATTTCTCCATCGTCAAACGACGGAGAAATATCTGGTACGCCCGTCATTCTTGACGGGATGGCATTATAATTGTATATGTGTTATAAATTGCATATAAAAATAAATACTTTCTTCGTAATTTTATATTATGATGTTATTCGAATAAAAACAGCCGTTAACAACAATGTTGAAATATAAAATGTTTTTCACTAGGAAATTTTATTAAATAGGATTAATTTCAAATAATTCCTACTAATAATATACGATTATTTTTCAATATTTATTATCATAAATTACTTTAATCGAATAATCTCAAAAAATTTGATCATATAATAGATAAAAAATTATTCGCCGAATAATATATTTTCCTTATTCGAATTCGATTCGAATAATTGTGATATTCATATTAGTAAAATACGAATCGAATCGAATTAAATCGAATAACAAATAATTCGTTTTAGGTATAGCTATGACTGCAAATTAACCAACATCTATTATTTGTGTGGCAATGTAATTTAAGATTTTTACTCTTGCTGCTGAGAGCATATGATTTCATAGCAATACTTTCTAGTCGTTTATATATCATTAAAAATGGAAGAAAATCTTTTAGAAATTAAACTTCCATCATGTCATCTAAGAGTGCTATAACTACCATTTAATTTTATGATTTATATTAATCGTTTATATTCTCTTCAAGAATTGTTGATTTGGTTAGGCCTATAAATTTTTCCTTATTAGTCAATTCTATAAAACTTTGTCTAAAATGGTAACAGAAAGTTATATTAGTTTCATGACCATTTGTCAAGTAAGTTGCTAAGAATTATATTAAATTATGTAGTTTTTTAAAACCATTATCATTTGAGGCATATGTATGAGTTAAACCTTTTTTATAACTTGTAATTCTTTAGAAATTTTTTATGTCAGCCATAGAATATATTTTATAATATAATAAATATATTTTGTATTAAAAATATTATTTCTAGAAATGTCTTGTATTGTTTTAAATATTTATTATGCTAGTTTATTTTGTATGCATAATATAATAAATGACAAAATATCAAATTAAGAATTATTGTTCAGATTTAACAAATTTTAACAATATAATATAATGATATAAAATCCGACCGAATGCCTGGAAAAGCGGGCCAAAGGCCCTCAAATTAGAATTTTTGAGGCCTGAGATTGTAAAGGCTAGCGACGCCCCTGTCCAGAGACCTAAAAAAGTGGACCTAAAGATCTTCTGAATATTTATAGAAAACTTTACCCAATAGTGTTTTCACCCTCCTTACTAAAATTCTCTCTACGTCTGACTCATAATATATACTCATAAATGCCAAATAACAAAATTAAAGATATTAATTTAAGTACATTTTTGTAAAAGACGTATGAAAATATTTACTAAATTAAATAAATATCATATCCTATAATTTAATATTTAATAAACCCTATTTAGGTCATACAACTTTATCATTATATATTATTATATTTTTAATTAATAAAATTATAAATAAAGTAAGCATTTCTTTTATTTTTTAAAAATTATATATATTTAAAATAACATGTAAACTATTTGTAAAATAAAATTTATAAAAAAACTATGTTAAATAAAATAATAATTAAACATTAATTAGGTATGATCAACTGGGTTGTGGAGCTTTTTAAAAACATATGACTATTTTGAATTTGGCGATCGTGAGGGAATCCAATATATTAGAATAATGACGATTTCTGATATATCTAGTACCGATAACATGCCTCCAATCATCGAAAAAGAATTTCTTTACCTCTTACAGTCAAACGATGACAAACTTTTCGCTATGAATCACCATTTTCTTATCAATGATTATAATGGTAAAGATTTTATATCAAGGTTACCACCTGATATAATTTATGAAATTCTAAAATACTTCTCTCCTCAAGAAATATCAGTCAGAATAGCTACGTTGTCTAAAATTTTCTATCAATATTCACACAATCCCTTATTGTGGAAAGATTTGAATTTTGAACCATTTACTAATTTTTCAATTGGAAAACTACAAAGAATAATGTCATTTTCTATTTCAAATGTTACAAATTTCGATGAATCTGACACGATAAATGCATTTAATAAAGACAATAATAATAATAGAGTTAATGGAATAAGATCATTAATAATTTCTGGTAGAGAAAGCCTTGATTTTTATGAAATTCTCACATTATCACCTTTTCTCTATTCATTAAAATACTTGGATGTTAGTTACTGTTATGGTATTAATGAATCTTCTGTAGAATTATTACTTCAGATCTGTCCTCAGTTAAATACTTTAATAGCAAAATCATGTATATCAATAAATGAACAAGCTTTTTGTTTACTTTCAGGATTTAAATTGCTCAAAATTCTAAAACTAAATTATGATAGTAGTTTAACTGATTTGGCTCTAACAACTATGGCCACATGGCTAACAAATTTGGAAAATTTAACTTTAAAAGGAATCACAAATATAAGTGATTGGTAATTCTTTACAATATTTTTTTTACTCCACTATTTTGATAATATTATAAAATATCTTAATTATAAATATACCACTCTGTTTTGCAGGATGTGAAATTGATATTTGATAATAGTATAAGACATGATAATGCCTTTTTAAAAATATTCTATCATAAATATTCATTAAATTTGTAAATATTTTTAATTTATAAAAAAGTAATTAAACTATGGCAATCATTGTTAATCAAATATCTGACACTTGTAGTATTGATTTTTTTTTATTAATTGTGATAGTAACCTATTTAATAAATCAAAGCAAGTATTTATAAAACTATTAGATCATACAATCATAATAGGGCTCTTCTATATCTTATACACTTCTTTTTTTATAGACACACACAAATGTTATTATCAAGTATTGCCATTTTATAATTTCATCCGGTTTGTAGAGGCCAAGCTTTAAGTCCTGGCTTGATTGAAAGAATTTTTATTTTCAAGCTAATGACTTGAGATTTTTTTGGCCCCGCCTAAATTTTATTTTTGATAATTTTTGCAAATTGTTTAAATGAAAAATATAAATAGATAATGAATATTAAACACTCCATTACATGATTTTCAAACTGATTATTTATCATTGATATTTATTTTTTTAAAATTAGCTTGGCCTAGATTTTAAAAATCATATTATTTTAAGGTTTACAGGCTGGGTTCTATGCCAGGCTTACAGGTCTATGAAATTTATTAAAAATAGTTATTTTTATAATTACATATCTTGTGAATTATGCAATAAATTTTAAATATGAGATATATTTTTTGTTATATTTTAATTATTAATATGAATACATTCTTTAATTTGTGCTAATATACCAAAAATACGAATCCCGGAAAATAATTCCCCGGAAAAAAAAATCCCGGAAAAAAATTCCCGGAAAATAAATCCCCGGAAATTAATTCCCCGGAAAAAAAATCCCCGGAAAATAAATTCCCCGGAAATTAATTCCCCGGAAAAAAATCCCCAGGAAAATAATTCCCCGGAAAAAAAATTCCCCAGAAAATAATTCCCAGGTAAATAATTCTCCGGAAAAAAAATCCCCGGAATAAAATTCCCCTGGAAAATAATTCCCCGGAAAAAATTTCCCCACTATACATTGAATTGCTAATGCATTGCTAAACTGCATTGCTAAAAGGCAATCAATCATTATCGATTATAAATCAATCAAAAATTTATTACGTATATTTTTTTAATGATAATTTTTTAAACTTTTTTTAAAATATATTTAAATCATTTTTTTATTATAAATGAAGAATACTGATTAAATGATATAGTATATAATTTTATTTTTATTTAATATTATTAATAAGAAATTTATTTTTCTAGCTTATTAAAACAAATATACATTTTATTCAATTTTAAAAATTAACAAATATATATCCGTAAGAGGGCGTTATATGTTTTAATATGTATCATTTTAGGAAACCGGAATGATGATTGGATAGCACATTTTTTTTATATTTGGGTATATATATACATATGAAAAACCTAAAAATTAAAAATTTTTTTTAGGTTTCTTTGATGTTTAATGAGTAGGTTTAGAATAGTAAAACAATGGAAATTTTTTAAAGTAAATATTGCTGGCGTTATTTATCAAAATCTCTTCATTTTTGTTTTATACGTGTATATTTACGTGCTAAGCATTATTCTAAAAAATATTTTGAAAATAATTTGATTTGACCGATTGCCGAGCTCAAAATCGATCACTCACTAAATATTCGATTGACCAAATTTATTAGGAATATAATTTGAAAAATGTTGATTTTCGTTTTATATATCTATAAATACGTATAAAACATAATCCTAATAATTCTTCAGAATTAATTTTATCAAAATTTTTAAATATTTTATTTGAGAATTATTATTTCGTTGATTTATTTATAGGGAATTTTTTCTCCTAATTTTGTAATTTTAATTATCTTAAAAACGGAGATTTTTTTTCCGGGGAATTATTTTTCTAGATTATTCTTTTTTAATATAGCTTACATTTAATATATTTATTGTAGCTTTCGTTCTCTTCGCTACACTGCACAAGGTACGATTCCCAAACAATTTATTTTAAATGAAATAGTTACATTTCTCATATTTAAATAAATATATTATGCTAAGCTAACCTATCTCATATTTTACTTTTAATAAACCTTTTATCGGTGCGTTGTCTCACCCCCTCCTTCATTATTATATAGGATTTAACTTGTAATATACAATAAATTTATTGAATTTAAAACAAATTAAACAATAACATAAAATTTATCGAATTCAAAAACATTTAATGGTAAATCTAAATATATTTCCGCGAATATGAATTTGATGATTTATTTTCAAAAAAGATACTCCAGCAGTAGTCCGCCAACATATTTATACGATTCTTGCCGGGAATTTAAATTGAAAACTTAAGACCCCCCAAAACGAAATTCTTTACCATTTTTCTCAAAAAGCAATCGATAAAAAATTATAAAAATTAATAAATTTATAAGGAAAGGAAATATAAATCTAACACTATCACCAATTTTCAGGGATTTTCATTTGATACTTTTTAAAATAAATCCGTATTACCATTTTTGAGATTTCGAAAAGTTGCCTTTATACGATAATATTTTTAAAACTTGACGTGAAGGGAAAACTTAGAAAACGAATTCGAACTCAATGTCAAATTCTGCACCAAAACTTGTTTTTATTTATTTTTTCTCCCATTTTTCTTGTCACACAGTACAATTAATAAGATAAAGACATAAATATTAAATAAAACCTATACAATAATTTTAATCTATATTTTTTCAACTATTTAGGTAGAGATATCAACATCCAAGGATGTTTTTATCATCTAACTCAATCAACTCATAGAAAGATTCAGGAATTGGGGTTAGAATCATCATATCGGAATGATCCAATGTTATGCTTATTTGCAGCTATGATCGATGGATTAGCATTCTTACCTATACACGATGTCAAACGAGGTATGGAGTATTTAAAAACCATTGTATCGGATGAAAACAAACAAAGAATTATTGTTTTATTTTGATAAAAATTATGTGAATGGAGAATTGAGACATGGGAAAAACTCTCAAAGGCAAGTAGAGCCATTGTTCCCACCAGAAACATGGAATGTGTTCAATGTTACGATTGCTGGGGAAAATCGAACAAACAATGTATGTGAAGGATGGAATAACCGATTTAAGCATATTGTAGGCAACAAAAAACCGAAGATATGGGAACTACTCGAAAAAATAAGGATGGAAATAGCGGTTGATATGGGAAAAATCGGCCAATGGAATATTGGGACATACACTCCCAAAAAAAATCGTATTTATGCAACGAAACAAACTATTTTAAAAAATTTATGCATTGATTATTTAGAAGAGAGAAGGGACTTGCCCAATTTTCTCTCTTCAATTGGAGAACATATACGTTCTAGAATTGTTTCTTTTGAATAACATAATTTATTATTCTATATATCATTTAACAAAATTATAATTATTTCTTTTCTGTAACTTTTGAAAAAAATTCATAAGATAGCAAAATAATAATTGTTAGATTAGAAAAATATAATACTCACTGCTGATAATCACCTCTGGATGTATTTTGATTAAAGTGGTCAGCATTTTTCATTACTTTTGGCAGTATTTAATTAAAATTGGGCAGTAAAAAATATAATTTTGTAAGTTTTATAGTGATTTTGTATTCAGTCAGTTAAATTCTTAAAGTAGGATACTTCAGTAAAATAATATTTATCAAATAGAGGGTATCAGATTGAATTGCTAATTTCCTATTTAGCCACAAAATTTATAAAATTATATTATTTAATAGCTTATCCTTGTAAAAACAAAAAGGGGCGCTATTTAAGAGTCAGTAAACTGTGAAAAGCCTTTTATCATATTTCTAAAAAAATGATTAAAATTTGTGTAAAAATAATTTTTCAATAAATACCTAAAAGTTGATGAAAGTGTGTAAAGGTGAACTAAATTTATTTAACTTTCGTTTTATTATTTAAAATCTCAAATCCTCGAAGAAATTTGACTTTAAAAAAAAACATTTCTATTTAATTAAATACTGCAGAGCAGATCCGGGTCACGGGATTTTTTTTCCGGGGAATTATTTTCCTAGATTCAAATTTACTAGTAATATAATTTGAAAATTGTTCATTTTTGTTTTATATATCTATAAATACATATAAAACATAATCCCAAAAAATATTTTAAAAATATCGTGGTTTGGCGGATAACCGACTCGTATATGTTTTACTCGTAATTATAGATATATAAAACAAAAAATGAACATTTTTCGAATCAACTAGTAAATTTTATCAATCGAATATTTAGTAAGTAGGGTTTTGAGCTCGGCAATCAGTCAAATCAAATTATTTTCAAAATATTTTTTAGGATAATGCTTAGCACGTATATATACGCGTATAATACAAAAATGAAGATTTTTCCATGGATAACGCCAGCAATGCAGTATTTGGTCATTCGGTCGGTTTTCGGGTCAAATCACGATATTTTTAAAATATTTTTTGGAATTATTTTTATACGTATTTATAGAGATACATAAAACAAAAATCAACATTTTTCAATTTATCTTAATAGCAAATTTGATCAATCAAATATTTAATAAGTGGTCGGTTTTGAACTCGGCAATCGGTCAAATCAAATTATTTTCAAAATATTTTTTAGAATAATGCTTAGCACGTAAATATACACGTATAAAACAAAAATGAAGAGATTTTGATAAATAACGCCAGCAATATTTAAAAAATTTCCATTGTTTTACTATTCTAAACCTACTCATTAAACGTCAAAGAAACCTAAAAAAAATTTTTAATTTTTAGGTTTTTCATAATAAAAAAAGTGCTATCCAATCATCATTCCGGTTTCCTAAAATGATACATATTAAAACATATAACGCCCTCTTACGGATATATATTTGTTAATTTTTAAAATTGAATAAAATGTATATTTGTTTTAATAAGCTAGAAAAATAAATTTCTTATTAATAATATTAAATAAAAATAAAATTATATACTATATCATTTAATCAGTATTCTTCATTTATAATAATAAAAAAATGATTTAAATATATTTATAAAAAGTTTAAAAAATTATCATTAAAAAAATATACGTAATAAATTTTTGATTGATTTATAATTGATAATGATTGATTGCCTTTTAGCAATGCAGTTTAGCAATGCATTAGCAATTCAATGTATAGTGGGGAAATTTTTTCCGGGGAATTATTTTCCAGGGGAATTTTATTCCGGGGATTTTTTTTCCGGAGAATTATTTACCTGGGAATTATTTTCTGGGGAATTTTTTTCCGGGGAATTATTTTCCGGGTATTTTTTTTCCGGGGAATTAATTTCCGGGAATTTATTTTCCGGGGATTTTTTTTCCAGGGAATTAATTTCCGGGGATTTATTTTCCGGGAATTTTTTTCCGGGATTTTTTTTCCGGGGAATTATTTTCCGCTTACCCAAAAATACATTATGCAATTTGTACCAATATGAAATTATTTGATTTAAAATTTACATATTGAATATGAATATCTCCGGATTTTATTTTCTTGATGCCAACCCCTTATAAATGATCACTTCAGTGTTTGCCATTAATTTAGTGGATGAATCAATGCAATGTAATAAACATTTTAAATTGGTTTAGACTATAATTGTCATTGAACTTCAAATTTCTCAAAATCATAGGTGCCTGGATAAATACTTGCTATTAAGGTTGAAGTTTTGGACATAAGTTGTTTTTCCAATTTTAAGATTTTACATCTATTTACTCAATTGGTTATACTAATAATACTGATTATAAATATATATTATAAATATAAATTCAATATCACTATCCCAAGTGGCATCAGTGCATTAGCCAAAGAAAGAGGCCAAACCTTAATTAAATTAGAAGTTGATGGTTCTTATATATCCGATAAATCCATATCTGATATCTCAAAGAGTTGTAAAAAACTTGAAATTCTATTATTTCATACGGCATGTAAATTGACTGATGTAGCTTTGGAATATATCCAGGTATAACCAATATTAACCCTGCATTCACTGTTTGCTCGAATTCGTGACAAATGCAAAATATGCTGTATTTTTTGTATTCGCCACACAAATTCCCGCTAACTGTGAATTCAGTCATGGTAATTCATCATTTTTACATTAAGGGATGTGAATGTATTTTTTTCAAATTTAATATTTGGTTGTAAATTTTTCTACCACACTGAAATTTTGCATGATTGCATTCTACCTATTTTGCGTGATATCTAACCTGCCTGACCAATGCCTTAGATATGCGAATCCACTAAAAAAACAGAATATTAAAATTTTTAATTTTGTCAACACACAATCTTGTTTTTTTTAGTTGGCAATTCAAAACACATTTTTAGTTACTCAACATTCATTACAGTTAGAAAATCATATAATTTTGTCCACTCTTCAATGACTTAGTGCTAGCACTTATCAAATAGACGTTTTAAATAAAAAAATAAGTTTTGCCTGAGCACGTTTAAATTAGAATTTAAACGTTTCTAAGCATGCTTTTGCTCCTTTGTTTACGATTTAAAATAAGCATGAAAATAAACTTTTCACTTAATTTTATGCTCCTTAAAGTCATTATCAATTATTATATTTATAGAATGTAAAGACCCTGAAACACCTAAAATTTGCTAGGTGCAAAAAATTTACCGAAATTGGCTTTCTCAGCTTTTTCGACTCAAATCATATGGATCGGCTGGAGGCCATTGACTTTTCGGAATGCAAAGCTTTTACCGATCTTGTCGCCGAGCGGATGAGTTTAAAGTTTTTATTAATTATTTATATATTTTTTAAAAAAATTAGACCTAGATCATATAAGAGGGTTCTCGCATTAAATTAACCGTTTGCTAGCCATTTAAAAAAAAATTTAAAACGATAAATATATGGTTAGAAATTATACTGAGAAAACAAACTATTTTGCTATTTTTTAAAAAAAATAATTTGAACGAAAAAAAAACGTTTAACAATTTTCAGTTATACATTTAAAATACATTATTTGAGAAGAAAAATAAACACACACTTTAATTTTGATGTACTATACTAATGCTTGCAAGTTGCAAATTGAACAGAAATGTTTAGCGTTGTTTTTTTATCAAACGATTTTATATGTTAACAAAAAGAAATGATTAAAACAAACTATTTTGTGTTTTTTCAATGCAAAAACACCAAAAAAAATCAATATTGACTTGTATAATATTTTTTTAAAAAAAATTTCGCGATTTTTTCCCAAATTTCTTGGGAAATTTACATCCCAGGTTTTTGCCCATATCTAATTAGCATATCATTTACATTAATTAATTAATTTTATAAAGTATAAATAATAAAATTGGTATTATTTTTTGAAAAAATTAAAAATAAATAAAACTTTGGGTGTTCCTTTCTATTTTTATAAAAAAAATTTTAAAATCGATTAAAAAAAATAAATAACATTTGCATTGTTTAAAAAAAAAATTATTTAGAAAATATTATATGTAAAATAGAAACTCACTAAAACTCGGAAAAATTTATTATTTTTTTAAATATTTAAAAAAAATATTTTTATTAAAAAAATAATAAATATAATGTAATAATAATTCAAAGTTTCATTACTCAAAAGTTTTAAGAATTGCATTTTTAGTAAAAGGATCAGATCGTGTTTTTTACAGGTATCGGCCCGAATATTTTTTGGAATACGCTAAATATCGATACCGATCCGACCCTATAATTAATATCGGCACAGCCCTATAAATTTATAAATATCAGTTAAGTAAGATTAACTTTATTTAATATATTTTTATGAAAGCTACAAATTAATTTGATTTTAATATAGTTTCTAAATTAGGGTCTGAGGGTATCCACCTTTTTGAGAGATTTTTTTCACCTGAGCAATGAAGGGTAATATGATACTTATATCTGCTGAGCCATAAGATAGCTACTTGATATTTTACTCATTGCCTAGTTATAAGTATCTGATTTCATTACATCGAAGGGTAGCTACCAGTCCTTAGCTCTTTTCAAATTTACTCCTTCTTTTGCATAATATTCGGTTACGATTTGTTAAATTATAATAGTTAGGATTTCTGAGCTGCTTTGCTAACCTTACCCCTCATTTAGTTAGAGCGATTTCGCGGCTAAGAATACAAAAATACAGCATATTTTATATACTCCGTCATGAATTCATGCTAATTATGAATTCGGGTTTAAGGTATATCTTTGATTTTACTGGCCAACCAACGATTAATTGCGATAGCAAATCGTTGCCCTAGGAAAATTCTTTGGGTTGGTCTCTCATTTCACTGATCTAGTTTTTTTCAAAATGTTTGAGCCTTGATACCAAAAGAGTGGAGCAGTGACTGTTTTTTTTATAACCGGTTCTTTAGGCTGTGCTTAAATATCGAAAAATTCGATTTAGAAACTTGTTAAGATTTATCGAAAAAAAGAAGAAATAATATTTTTTAATAAAAATAAAATAATCTCTAAAAATATAATTCTAGAAAATTTTAAAAATTTATCATGCGTTTTCATTAAAATTTTGAAACTTATGAAAGTTATAAAACTTTTCGAATTTTTTAAAAAAGATTTTGGAATATATATTAAAATTGTATTAAACATTTATGAAATGTAATCAAATAAAGTGAAAAAAAAATCGCCATATTGCATCTGCGTTTAGTATAATACACTTGCAGTAATAGATTTTATAGTTAATTGCTGTAAATTACATGATACGAATTATAATATATGAATCAAGGTAATCTGGCCTCAATTTCAAGAATCGTATATATTTTTTTTAAAAATTATTTAAATTTTTTAAATATGTTTTAGGCACAATGAAAGATTGAAAAAATTGTACTTGAGTTTCTGTTGGGAAATGAGCGATGATGGATTTCAATTTATTCTCAATAATTGCCCGTAAAAATGTTTGATTAATTTTATTACTAATACTAATACTACCAATCCTCATGATGAGTCGCAATTTTTTATTGCGCCCTCATTTTTGTTAAATCACAGGTATTTGAAATAAAAAAAACTAATTATTTATTTATTTATTTTTATATAGCCCGTTTTTTTTGACTTATTTATTTTTTAAAAATAAATTTTAATTATATTTTTATTGCACCTTAAGGAATCTCGAATTGTTAGAACTGGCGGGCCTCAATCGTTTGTCCTGGTTACACGTTCCCGATATACCTGTAAAATTGCCGAAATTGAAATACCTTGACTTGAGGCAATGCAACACAGTAAAAAAAAATATAACCCTCCTACACGATTTTGTTATAATTTAGGGAGAGACGCACAGATAACCACCATTTTAACCGATACGACTAGTGTTCTGTATCAGGCCTAATTTTTCAAACCCGGCCCGGCCCGAATTTTTTTAAAAAAGTTTTGCCGGCCCGGCCCCTCGAATTTATTTAAATATAGAAATTAATTTTTATAATTACTCAAAATAAAAACATATTTTATATGGCATCTAGTTTCTATAAGCGCAATCAAATATTTTTATTTTACATAAAAAATTCAATATAAAAATTGATTAATTTAGACATATTTAGAAAAACGCGTATTTTTAAAAATTTATGAAGATTATTTTTCAATTTTCAGTATTGGTTAAAATTGAAAGTCTCAGCTAATACTGACCAAAACAGTGAGTATCGATCTTTTCTGATTTTAGGTTATCTATCAACTTGGCTTAATGTACCACATGATGAACTCATTATATTAATATACTCGAAAAAGAAACATCTCTTATTCGTTAAGTCAGCGCAAATTCGCGGCAAAGTATACATAGTATGTATTTTTGTTATTATCGCGCGAATTCGCGCTGACTGTTAACGAGGAGTTATGCGGTATCTGCTATATTGAAGGTTCCCTAGAACTTAATTTTTAATAAAAATTCCACTCCTTTTTTATTTTTTCCTAAAGCTATACCCAATTAATTACATGCATATTTTTTTACTCGTTATTTACCCTAGCTATCGATCGAATTTTAAAAAAATTTTAACTAGCTATTTTTCTAAATTTTGAAAATATTCATAAAAATTACAAAAGATTTACTTATAAAAGACTTATTTTAAAATAATTTGATCAAAAAATCACTTCTTCAAAATATTCATGTAAAAAAATAGAAAAACGGTAATGTTGACAATTCGTGAATTATTAAGTTCACTCAATTTAACAGTAAAAAAATTATCTATTTTGGTCTCTGGGTTGAGCTATTTTTTATAGGTTATAACCTTGAACATTTAATAGTTTTCTGTTAGAAATTTGGTATAGCCGTTTTTATTATGGCTCATTAGCAATTGTATAATACCACCCCCCCCCCCTCCCCTTCCTTGACTTCACAATGTCCACTGTTAGGTGGAAAAGATTGTTCAGAACTCCAATAATTATAAATACATTGATCAATCAGATGAAAAAATATTTACCTTATCTGAGATACATTTTTTAGGCTAAGGGGCATATCAGTGCATTTTAGTAATGGTATTTAAAAAATACAATTAAACTATACGATAATTTTAAATATTTTATTACCTTAAAATATTGTATTCGGAATTAGTATCGAAATATCGACATTTTTGGAATGATATTTTTCAACGCTTCTTAATCTGGTATGCTATCTTTTAACATTGTACGCTCTAACATTCTGGAACCTCATATACATATCGTTTTTTTTGTAAAACTGTCTATCTTTTTTAAAATGAAAAAAAAAACAATAGTGGATTGACGATGACATTGTCAAGATAGTGCACAAGATGCCAAATTTGATGGTAATAAACTTTTTAGGATACGAAGTATATCAAAAACCTGGTATCGGAATAATCCATAGCCCTCGCCGATTTTGTGAATAAAATATATATTTTTAAATTTAAATATTAGAATTGATAATAATACATAATATTTATAACTAGCAAAAATAAAATTTTAAATAATAATTTCATATAAAAATATATATGATTTAGAAGATTAAAACTGTCATTAAAGGATGAATTTATTATTATAATTTATTTCAATTTGTAATTATTGTAAAAAAATTTCGGCAACACTTGTGTGCGACAGAACTAAAAAGATAACAAAAATCGGATCGGGCAGCACTTTCGTGTGTCAGGTCATACTGTAAATATAGGTCATACTGTAAATATAGGTCATACTGTAAATATAAAACAGACAGAACTTCCTTGCCTCTGGTCTTGCTGTAAAAATAATATAGTTAAGGTCGCTTAGATAAGAGCCGCCTCACTTAAGAAGACTTTGGGTAATTCACTTTTTATATTCAGCCACCTTACTTAAGAGGATTTTGGCAATTCTTTTAGCTCTTCACGTTTATAATAATATATAAAGATAACACACAATTTAAAGTCTAAAATAATTTGTTGTTAAGTGATACTCTTTTTTTTTGCAGATGATTTCCAAATACAAGTTTTATATATGCGACAGAATATTTATAATTTTTCACTAGAGAAAAATAATATATATAATAATTTTAAACAAAATAATATGATTTTACCTTATGTCTTATACTTGCACAATTTGAAAAATAAATTTATTAAATAATCTTCTCAATAAAAATAAATATATTAGTCTTGATCAGGGTTTTGATCCGTTAAGAATAGCGGTTCGTTTTGGGTTTTAGTTTAAAATTTTATAAAGATTTTCCATTTCGATTTTTTTGAAAAAATTCATAGGTTCGGTTTGGTTTATAAATTATAAAGGTTCTTTTCGGTTTATTTCTGTTTTTATAAATATAATTTTAAAAAAATGTAATCAAACCATATATATTAATCTTAGAGAAATCTTTTTATAATTACTTAATTTAACCATGATAATTTAATAGATATTTTTATTAAACTTAGTAAATATAAATTAGACAAATTAATATTTTTTATTTCATAAATAAAAGATAATAACAAACATGTGCAAATACAATGAGGAACAAAATAAAGCATAAATAATGAAATTTATACTATTTATGTATAAAAAGAGATTTAGAACGGATAACAAAATATTTTTTAATATTTCAGGATTTAATTTAGTTCTATGCGCAGAGAGTATAAACTTAAGGGTAGAAAATGCTTTCTCTATGGACACCTGCGTAGCTGGAACTGCTATTAATAGCTAATTTATAAAGTTCTGGCATACTATTCTTTAAATTTTACCAATAATTCAAAAGATTAATATTTATTTCTAATCTTAATATATTATCAATGACCAAATTAGGTATTCTATTTCTATACATTTATTCGCCAACTTTAATACTTCAACATCATCTTAATTATCTTTCGAATGTGAACACATGCATAGTATCTAGAATTTCAATTTAAATTTTGTATTAATTTCCAAGTTTTAGAAAGATATTTTGGCGATCTTTTTCTTCAAATGTTAAAAATACATTATCTTGGGTTAAAATATATAGCTGGGCAAAAAACGACATTTTTCAAATTTATTTTTCGTGCTACCTAAATTATTAACAAGTATTATTAAAAGCTAATTAATAACTAATATTATATAAGAATAAACTTTAAATTTAGCCAAGAATAGTTTTGTGTGATTTTAATATTATATCTTATCTAATTAATTGGTAATTTGCCTTAAATCGAGTGTTTAAAGTAAAGACAATAAACTTGGTATTGATGATATGTTTATAATATAAAAAAATTTTTTCGGTTCATCCGGTGGTAAATATTATTTTATTTTAATCATATTTATTTACAGGTATAACTTACATGAAAGAAATTAAGCTTAAAATCAGCCATCACCCACCTTTAAAGTAATTAAATTATACTGTAGTTCTCGGGTATAGTCTTTTTCTTTGCCACTCCTTTTAAATTAAAGCCTATAGAGGTTTAAGCAACTTTTTTCGAAATGTTGTGCCTACAAGTACGTACGGCTTGCCCACAAACGTGTAAAGAACTTCTCATCTTTTTCCCAAATTTTATTTAATCCAATTAGATGGAAATGAGAAATACCTAGCGTAGCTCTGTTGTACCTACAACGTTTAGAGGGCGTATGCGCTTTATGACGTATGACGTACGTAAATTGAAAAGAAATTACGAATTTAAAAATTGCCCCCAAGGAAAATTAAAATTTCCGATTTAGGTTAATAATTTAAAATTAATTATTTTTTAAAACCGGTTTAAAACAGTTAGGTCCCTCTTTTTATATTGTATCATTGATTATTTAGTAATTTTATGAATCTATTAATAATAATTATAATATATTTCGTCTTAAGACTTATCTTTGGCTTATATTTCATTTCTTTAAAAATACTTTTGGTTCACTTTTTTTTATACATAAATGTTTTTTTTTAAAAATGTATAAATTATGATGAATAGTTTTAGTTTAAAAATATCAACTTTTACATTCTTTCTTTCAAATTATTGTTTAAGATATATGCCTACATTTTTGTCGGTCAGGGAGTGGGGGAGGGGAGGACTTAGAGGGATATTTTTTATGATATATATATTTTCTATAGTATAATTGTATATTAGAGTTATATTATAAGGTTCTTATTTTTATTATGTGTCTAAACATATTTTGGATGATATTCCTTACATCCCACTATTGAGGGGGAGGGAACATTAGATCGGGTAGCATTGTTTCACTAAGATAAGACAGGGGCCCACTATACCATGGGGAAGTATCAATGTGAATTTGCAAACATCAATTAAGGCAAATAAATAATAATTCTTCAGTGCAGGGTTTCAGATCGAAACCTAGCAGCCATATAATTTTCTAAACCGCAACCAACTGATATGAAGAAAAATCTATGTGCCCAAGTTTAAAATCAATATATTAAACCGAGAATTTGAATATAATTGTATAATGAGAGGGAGGAGTTCCATCCATTCAGGTTGAATTTTTACACACCACTAACAGTAAATGTATCGGTAGCAATACAAAAACATATTAAAAGTCATAAGTAAAAACATATTTTATATATATATTTTAAGATTACAATATTCAACATTATTTAAATGAAATATTTGTCATACAATATTATAACGTAATACAGTGTGACAAGAAAAATGGGAAAAGAAAATAAAAACAAGTTTTGGTGCAGAATTTGACGCTGAGTTCGAATCCGTTTTTCAAATTTTTCCTACACGTCAAATTTTAAAAATATTACCGTATAAAGACAACTTTTTAAATCTCAAAAATGGTAAAATTAAATCTATATTCAGATATATTTGAAAACATATCGAATAAAAATCCCTGAACATTGGTGATAGTGTTAAACTTATATTTCTTTATAAATTAACTAATTTTTATAATTTTTTTATCGATTTGTTTTTGAGAAAAATGGTAAAGAATTTCGTTTTGGGGACTTAAGTTTTCAATTTCAATTACTATCAAAATTATAAACTTAGGAAGATAAATTTTATATAATTTTGCTTCAAATATGCTCAAGATTATATATTAATTCTAATTATGTTTCAAAAGTATTCTATGCCATGAAAATTCAACCAAAATCTATAAATTAATAAAGTTAGTACAGATATTTTCGAACCTTTTAATTTGTACACTGTTATTGAATTTTCTCTGTATAAAGCATTATTAAAGTAAAATTAAGGTAATATTTATCTTTTTTAGTTGTATTTAGTAATATTTTATGCATTTATGATCAATACCAAAATAAGATATCTGTACCCACTTTTTTAATTTGTACTCTTTTTGAATTGAGCATTTTTGAAGCAAAATTCATTTAAAATGCAATATTGGTAATTTTTTTATTAATATTTATCTTTTTTAGATGTATTTAAGAATATTTGTTTTTTTAATCAATTTATATCAAAATATATGATTTTCCAATGGAGTACCTTGAACCTGTAGTATGGGCAATAAATAATAATGCCAAATAACGAATAGGAAGAAAGGAGAAGAATTATTTTTTTTCGCACTTAATTTTTCATAAACATTTAATTTCTTTCATTAATTTTTTTTTAAATTGGATTTTAAATATTATTCCAATTCCCTCCTTATATAATATTCTACAAAAAATTAATGCCGAGGTCCCCTTGTTTAAAGTGTGTCTCACTTTGTTACTACAAAAATGCCAATTTCTCCAATCATTCAAAGGATTTAGGAAATTTATTACAATATTCCACTCTGCAATTTGGATAAACCATTTGCCCCTAATTACATATGTAAAACATGTTATAATTCTTTTAATTCCTGGGTAAATGGAAAACAGTCATATTTGCCTTATTCGAAACCTGCATTTTGGCACGTAGTAATAAATCATTCGTGGGATTGTTATTTTTGCTCAATTACTAGATTTGGTTTAACAAAATAAATAAGAAAAAAATTCGTTATCCTGAAATTTCGACGGTTGTTTATCTGGTAAAATATAATATGCATACAACAGTTCCTTTTTTTAATAATTCGCAACTGGAAAAATTACGTTGCCAGGACAATGACATCATCCCGAAGAGGACGCCATTTATGTCACAAGAGCAACTAAATGACATAACCAGAAATTTACAACTTTCAAAAAGAAAGCCGGAATTTTTAGCCTCCAAGGCTATTTTAAAATTTAAAAAAATGGAGTTCGAACTTCATACCGATTCCGTGGAGCATAGTTTAAAAATTTATTATCTTACGAAAATTTTTTATACTATTCCAACAATCTAGGTCAACTTTTTTTACAACTTAATATAGAATTGGTGCCCGATGAATGGCGCTTGTTCATTGATTCAAGCAAAAACAGCTTGAAAGCAGTTTTGTGTAAATATAATAAATATAGGTTGTTTAAAAATTGAGTAAGGATTTTATAAAAAAAATGCTGCAAAATTTAAGATATTTTTTTTAATTGTAGGGAAACCTTCAAAAAGTGCTAAAAATGACCTTTTTGGCCACTTTACCTAAAATAAATAAAAAACCTGACAACGGATTTAGAATATGCATAAAAACTGTCCTAAAATATGTTTATTTTATTTTCTCCCAAAAAATCAAATCGAAATTTGTCACACAGTGTAATTTAAAGTTCATGAAAGGTTTATAAAAATAAACAAATTTATATTATTTGGTACTTTTTAAAATTGTAAAATTTAATTAAACTTTATTTTTCGCTTATAATTTTCTATTTTTAATTTTTTTCTTTATATTTTTTGTTACTTTTCTTTTCTTTTGTTTTAATTTATAATTGATTTATTTAATTAATAGAGTTTAATAAAGGAATTAGAATTAATATTATGGTTTCAAATGATAATTTTATTATTTAATTTTCTTTCTATTTTATTTAGAAAGGGATCAAAAATCTTGTTTTTTCACCAATAATTAACTATTTACATGACTTCACTAGAAAAGCTGCGCAGGGGCTTAAGCCCTTTGAAAATTTGAATAGCCCCCTGAAGTAAAATTTTTTTTAATGGCTCATTAATATCCCCTTGAACAAAAAATAAATTTTTTTAATTGCCCCCTTAAAGATTTCTTTTATAATTATAGTGAGTAATATATAGATTTATTATTTAAAAATTAATAAGACTATTTAAATTTTAATTAAATGAATGCTATTTTAATTATTAGATTAGATTAATACAAATAAATATATTTTCACTATGTCAGCTCGCAATCAAAACTGTGTTAAAAATATAATATCATTATCACTCACTAAATATTATTTTAAAATTAACAGTTGAAGCTTAATTAACTTTTATTATTTAAATTATTATATAACCCTAATTAAATAAATTTTAATTGAAAATTAACAAATTTAATAAGAGTTCAAAATCACTAATCAACTATATTATTGACTCTTAAATTTAATTGCCATGCCTCTTCCTATAATTATTTTCAAGGTCCAAATCCAAATAATTATAAGATATTTATTTATAAAAAGTTAGTAGACATATAGTTTATAATCCTATATTATATATATAATTGGTTATAAAATATTAGGTAAAATACCACTTTTGCAACATATTTAACTATAATATATCACAGTTAATATTTTAATAAATTTTACTTATAAATAGGCCTAAAACGAATTATTTGTTATTTGATATTCGATTCGATTCAATTCGATTCGATTCGTATTTTACGAATACAAATAACACAATTATTCGATTCGAAATTATTTATATATAAATATTCGTAATTATTCGCAAATATCTATCAGTGCGATTGAGAAAATAGAAACTTATTATAACTTAACAAATACTCACACTATAATATCAACAATACTGGATCCTAGACTAAAAATGGAATTCTTTGAGCAACTACCAACTACATATAACATAGACACGACAAATCTATTAGAAAAATTTAAAGATGTATATAATGATTACAAAATATAATATCAAATCAACATCAGTTAACCCAATAGTACAGCCGAACATGGATAGGAATTTTAAACAAAATAACATCGCATCAGTATGTGAGGTGGAGACATATCTTAACGAAATAAGAATCAGTTCAAATAAGAGTCCCTTAGAATGGTGGAGATTGCATGGGGATCGTTTTCCTGTGTTGTCGAAAGTGGCAACTAATATATTGTCAATTCAGGGATCTTCGGCTTCATGTGAGCGGTTGTTCTCAACAGGAACAAATATGATAATGAAAAATAGAATGTCTTTGAATGAGAAAACTATTAGAAAGACTTTATGCTTAAAAAATTGGATATTATCAAATTCGGATTTACTATAATTTTATATTTTTATGTATTATTTCTACTTTTATAAAATGAGATTATTGTACATTTTTAGAAAATTTTAATAAAATTTGAATATTAGATTGAAGAAATAGTTAAATATTTTTTTATAAGCAATTCTAATGCTAAAAATCGGATATTTTGGTCAATTTGTTTGGTTAACGTTATATGAAATCATTGGGTTTTATTTCGTTTATTTTCAATAAATTTTTATATTGTAATGACAATTAGTTTAGAGAATCCTTAAAAGTGTCATCTTTAAACATCTGTAAAAAATTTTTTGCAAAATATTTTATAAGCTTTAGAAAAAATTTCGAATCGAATCGAATATTCGACGAATCGAAACGAATAATGATTTTTTTATTCGTACGAATACGAATAGCGCAATTATTCGATTCGAATTTTCGAATCGAATATGAATAATAGTATTATTTGATTCGATTCGTTTTTTTGTAGGCCTACTTATAAATACTTATTTTCTTCTTTGAAAAGCAGTTTTGAGTTAAATTTTTAATACGAATGATATTATTACAAACTACTATTATTTTAAGATATAATATACCAACTAGAGGTGGTGTGACAATATTATATAAAATCTTAATTTCTTTGATGACATCACTCAGGTTCTTATTTTATAATTATATAATGTTTATTTATTATGGCATCCTTGCCGTGTAAATAACTCAAGGCTTGAATATATTTGCATAATTTTTTATATAGATTTTTAGTGTTTTTGTTTTATTAATTTATTTAACATAATAAATTCTGATATGGATTACCATCGTGAGTGTCATGGTTATAACTGCAAATTAACCAGCATCTATTATTTGTGTGGCTATGTAATTTAAAACGCTGCTAAGAGCATATGATTGCATATTTTATAAACAATAATTGTCAACTGTGTAGTCGTTTATATATCATTAAAATGGAAGATAATCTTTTAGAAACTTAAAATCTCACAATTTTTATCTCGATTACTTATATAGCTTCCATCATGTCATTTAAGAGGAAGCTCTAACCACGTTATAGTTTTATGATTTGGATTGGTCGTTTATATTCTCTTCTTTATGTATTAATGATTTGGTTAGGCTTATAAATTTTTCCTTATTAGTCCATTCTATAAAACATTGTCTAAAATGGTAACAGAGAGTTATATTAGTTTCATGATTTTTGTCATTGTAAGTGGCTAAGGATTATTTTATATTATTTAGTTTTTTAAAAAACCATTATCAATTAAGGCATATTTAGGAATTAATTAACTTTTTTATCATTTGTAATTCTTTAGACGTAAATTATTTTATATTGTAATAACTAGATTTTGTTTTAAAAAATATTATTTTTAGAAATTTTCTGTATTGTTTGAATTATTTATAAGCTAGTTTATGTTGTACGCATAATATAATAAATGACAAAATAGAAACTCAGAATACGAGAATTTTAAAAGTATAATAAATTAATATAAAACCCGGCCGAAGGACGTGCAAAATCGGGCCGAAAGTCAATTTAGGTATGGGTGACTTCGCCCCCATAATATTTTTTAGTTAAGCCCCCTTAGATTGTAAAGGCTAGCGACGCTCCTGTACTCTGACACAAAATATTTGCAATATTATTTTGTAATCAATATATCTCTATAAAAACTTTCTTTCTTCAATTATTAAGTCTTGATCATTAAAAAAACTTATAATTACAAAAACAAAATAGGATTTGACGTATAAGATTTTTATTTTTTCACTAACTCGTATTACATATTTCATACTAATTTTGACAAATATATTGCCAAATATTATATATTAATTTATAATTAATATTATCAGATATATGAATTTATAACAATTTATACATCTACATTTTATAATTTAATTCACAAAAAAATGAAAAAAAATTTGTATTTGAATTCGTCCAATAATAATGTAATCATAATATATTCAAAATACTTTTGTAGTCTAAAATATACTAAATAATATATACAAAATACTTTTGTAGTCTAAAATATAAATACTAAATGCCTTCTAAAATATTCAAATTTTAATATTAAGTACAAGTATATTAAAATTACTGCCAAACCCTCTAGAAAAACCACTACATCGTGACGCTATCAAAATTTTAAGGAAAACTTAATGACATAATTATATGTCATTCAATGACATATATGTCAATGATGTCATTGGGAAAAACACATATTAATCAACAACGTTGAACGCTATACATCGTTACCTCTTCCTTTTAAATCCCATTAAATGCAGGAGGACAGAGTTAAATAAAATTGTTAATTTATTATTACATTATATTTTATAGATAACATGGAATTCATTAAACTTTGGATTTTGTGGATACAAATTTCAGTAATAAAAAAATTATTTATATCAATAAATTAAATTAGGTCAAAAACTCAAGTGTTTTGTCGAAATGAATTTAATGTTACTGGACTATGCTCGGAAAAGTCATGTCCTTTAGCAAATAGTAGATATTCTACTGTCAAAGAAGATAACGGTAAATTATGATGTTAGATATTTTATGTTTAAATTATTTATACAAAAATTAACATAATTTTCAATATTTCTTAAAGTAATTACTTTTTTAAATATAACTTTTAGAGAACCCTGCAAAACATAAATAAATTTTTTATAAAAAAGATTGTTTATTTTTATAACTTTCTCATTACAATAAAATGATAATTAGAATAAAGCAATTAGTGTTTTATCTGACTTCATAAAAATATGTATAATATTTTAAAGAATGTGTAGAAATATCTTACCTTGGTCCAAAAAATAAACCAGGCTATCTGAAAATCTATTAAAGAACCCTGCAATTAATATCAGAGCCAAACTTGGCCTAAATAAATACTTTTCAGGCTGGGATTATGCCTAAAATATTGTAATTAGTCAAGACCTGTTTTATAAAGTTGTAAAAAATAAATTAGAAAATAATGTTTTTTTTTCTCATTACAATAGAATGATAATAATATCTAAAATTAGAATAAAACAATTAGTGATTTTATCTGACTTCCTAAAAAGGTGCCTAATATTTTAAAAAGTGTTTAGGAATATCTGATTTTAGTCCTAAAAATTAGACCAGTTTGTGATTATAAATTTGAAAAATTATGCTAATTTTTCTCAAAATTTGCACAGGTTTTTAAAATTTTAATTTTTTAAATGTTATAAACTTTTTTAACTTTGAAATTTTTTTTTTATTAAATGTAAAAAAATAACAAGATATAAAACTTTTTTAAAAATATTTATATATAATAATTGTATAGAATTCTATTAAAAATAATCAAGTTTCGGCCAAGCTGGGCCTAATATTTTTAAAAAAAATTTAAGCTGGGCTGGGTTGGATATTGGAAATTTTTTTTAAAATATATCTAAATTTATCAATTTTCATATGTCTTTTATTTTGAGTAATTATTAAAATTAATATTTAAATAAATTGGGGCCAGGTTGGTAAATTTTTTTTAAAAAAAATTTGGATTAAAGCTGGGCTAGCAAAACTTTTTTAAAAAATTTTGGGTTCAAGTTGGGCTGGCAAAACTTTTTTAAAAAAAATTTTGGGTTGGGCCAGGCTTGAAATATTAGGCACGATGCAGATCACTAGGTTCAATTACAATTTATAACAAAATAAATATAAAAACTATATAAGAATGTTATAAACCACATATAGGAGGGAGGAAGTAAAAATAGATTCTCACTGAGTTCCAAGGAAACTAAATATTAGGAGTTGGCCAATCTTAATTTTTAGATTATAGTGTTAATATCTTTATGGCAACTGGACTGTCCTTTAGAATATGAACACGTTAGAATATTTTGTTCCTAAGAATCAGAATTTTTCCTACACCTTTTCCATTTATGGGGTTAACATAGGTCACAGCCTATCCTATACCATATGGTCATTCTCAGCTCCTCACCTGATAGCATAACACTAAAATTTCCTCTAGGGACAGCTTCAAGCCATTTGTGGCCAGAGGTTATCCCAAATATTTAAGGATTTAATTTTTTTAGAGGGATTAATCCCCAGGGTTTCATTAATAATTTTATTACCAAATAAAAGTGAATTGTTATTAAAGGGACCAAAATGAGAATTATTAAGGTGAATTAATGTTAATAAATAACAATATCGATAGCCATCTAGGCCCTCAGTTGAAAGGATTTTAAAGGAAGGGGAGAAGTGAAAGTGGGAACCCCTTGGGTACTCAACCAGAGGGAGCTTTAGAGTGTTTCTTATATACGGCAAGGATTTCATCATTAGATGGGGGCTATTATATCAGGAGATGTGGCTAAATTAAGAGCCCCTGTAACATCTCTTATAGATTTATCTTTTTTGGAGATAAGCTTGCACTTTGAAATGAGATCATCAGATTCAAATATTTGTACTTGGGTCACCATAGTATTAAAGTTTAAGATCCTATCCTTATTGTATTGAATTAAGGAGGAATCTATATCAGCATTAGTGAAAACTTTATGGGGGAAAGTAAGGAAATTATCCCAAGTGGGGGAATTAAAATTTCCATTTAGAGAGCCGATTATCTCAGATAACTTACCAATAATCAGATATCTCACATTTTGGGTAATATTAGAGGAGGTTTTTTTGATTATTAAAAAGTTATTTCAACAAAAGGGTTCTCAGGTAGTTATTACTTGAGTGTTGAATGGGTGTAGGCTTAGGGATATTGTCTTTAATCCTAGTATGAACACTTGATTGATGAATTAATTTGTTTATGATAAATATTGGATCATTAAAATATGGAAATATGAATGAATGAGGTATATCCAGATAAATTTCTGGGTTGAGTTGATTAGATAGCCATTTACAGTTTTCTCTCTCATTATTTTTTCGGTTAATGAAATTAGTGTATTTTCCCCATTCATTTTTATAGTTTATTTAAGTTATATAACTAATATAATGTATAGGAAAAACATAATATCAATTTTTAAAATAAATAAACTATGATTAAAGGTTAAAAGTTAAAAAAAAAAGATGTCTAAAAAAAGTAAATAGCATAGATAAACTAGAGAGGAGAAGAAAATAAAATGTAAGGGGGCATGGAAGATTATTTGATGAGTCGATTATTTAATTTTTATAAATAAAAATACAATGGAAGATTGGCATATCTATTATAATTTTTTATCTATGCAATAGGTATATGCTACCTATATGTCAAAACCATAGAACGATCCCATTTCCCTAACAAATTATGGGAAAAGATAAAATTGTCTAGAAACATGGAAAAAGCCCATGAACAAATAAAGAGCGAATTAATTTACTGGCCCAAATTCAATGTAATAAAATGTCAGAAGAGGTTATTAAAAATCAATGAATACCTGAATCGTACAAGAAAGCTCAGATTAACTTCAAAGTATCTATTAATTATATAATTTTATTTTTGCTATAAATCTACCATTACAAAATGATGCAAAATAATTTTTTTTATGAGTTAGGTTATAATAGAGCCTTTGAAAAAAAAATCCATGTTTATTAATTTATATCAAAATTTTTAACTTTTAAATCATGTGCAATTTAAAATCTATATGTTCCTATTTAAAAAATAAGCAAAGAATTGATTCCTATCCGAAGAAAGATAGATAGACGCGAAAAACGAAAAGAATTCAAGGCTTTAAAGGCAGCCAATATCGAAACTAACATAGAGAAAGAACTGATACAAAGGCTCAAAAATGGAACAGTAATTTTAATTTTTTTTAGAAGAAATACTTGATTACAAAAAAGATACATATTTGCTTTCGTAGTGGGGCACCTGCACTTGCACAATTTCTACCTAGGGTGGTCCAAAAAAATATTTACAAATTATTACCCTAAATAAAAAAAAAGTAAAATATAAATTTCGGAAAATTTCTAGCTTATTTTCAAATCATTCACCATTATCCTAAAATAAAGACCAACCGAATTTGGCGAATAAAAATAATATAAGTTTACGTTAAATATGAAACGACAAAAAATAATATATTAAAGATAGAATACACAGTAGAAATTAGTATTTACTAAAATTTCCAGGATATTTAAAATAAATTTCGGAGAACCTGCACCGCCCGCGGTTTTTATATGAAATCATTTAATAACTTGATCTTTTTATTCTAAAAAATTTTTTTCATTTAATAACAATAGAAGGGGTACATTTGTGTTCATTTTTGGCATGATGTATTTTATTTTGTAATGTTTTTTATGTTTTGATTGGCTAAAAAATGAAAATTGTAATAATTAGTCTCTAAATTAATAACTACTATTCAAGGACAAATTAAAATGATTTGGTTTGTTTTGAAATAATTTATAAAATTTAATAATCTTTGTAAAAAAAATATCGGTATACCTGCCCTTAGCCTATTATAGCCATTTCACCAAAAAAAGAACAAATTAAATAGCAAATACCCAAATTATTATCTAATAATAAATAAGCAATTTTAATTTTAATAGTAAATGAACAAAAGGTAATAGCAAATTACCAAAAAGCCGTTTCGTCTAAAAGTGCCAAAAGAGTGAATACCCGAATTAATACAATAAATACACAATCTCGCATGATTATATGAGGAGCAGAGTGCATCTTTTACGTTTCTTAGGTTATAGGTCAACTTGCTATGAATGGATTTAAAAATGAATTTTTCTTCAATTCCTAGCCTGACCTAAAATTTGCAGCTGTATACCTGTCTAGTGGCACTCCTTGCCCCTTCCTGCGGCAACCCATGCTTTATAATCCAAGCCAAGAGGAGAAGTCGGAACTTGAAGCTTCCTAAGAAAACTATATATTTCGTTTTATTTAACTAAAATTCTAGCTCTACGTTTGAGAAACTTTGGATACCTAAATTGCTTAGTAGAAGGTGTTTCAATAGCTATCATTTGTATCTTTTTTTTACCAACGCCAATGTGACTGATAGTGCAATATTTAAAATTTTGATGTATTTCGCATCCTCCTTCTTCCTCCAAATATATTTATTTATTTTGGCCCAAAAATTGGTTCATTTAAATAATATTTTGACACGCAAAATAGTCCAACTATACAAAAGTGTATGATATTTTTTATTTTATATATCGACAATTTGGTTCTGCGCAGAAAGAAAATCTGTTAAGCATCCACGCGTCACTTTATTTCTGTTTTCGTTGAGCCGTATTTTTAACAGCAAAGAAAAATTCTGATGATGGGGTGATAATTCTCGTTAAATAAAAACTAAATTTAGCCGGCTACAATGGCTGAAAATAAAGAAATTATCCAAATAATTAATATATCTTGATCTTATAGATTTTTATTTTATGTATTATTGCTAGGCTTGCTTCATCATAAAAAGCTAACAAAATTATAGTTATTTTGACTCCAAAATTGGTTTTTAATATTGGTTCTTGACTCGTTAGATAACCCAACTATACAAAAATGTGTGAAATATTTTTTTTTATATATCAGCTAACTCGGGTCTGTGCAGAAAGAAAATCTGTTAAGCATTCACACGTCACTTACTTTATTTCTGTTTTCGATGAGCCGTCCGTATTTTCAACAGCATAGAAAAACTCTAAGATGGTGGGGTGATAACTCTCGAATAAAAACTAAGTTTAGCCGGCTACAACCGCTGAACATAAAACAATTACCAAAATAATTCGTGTATCTTGATTTTATCCATTTTATTTTTATGTATTATTGCTAGGCTTGCTTATAATTTTTTGGGTTAGGGTATATTATTAAAAAAAATTTGGGTCTTCGTTTAAACTTTTAGTCAGGTTCTCGTGGAATCTGGAATTATTAAAAGAAATATGTTACAGTTAAAAGCGGTGGCGGGTAGATTTTTCGCTTCGCTACTCCGCTCCCCCAAAAAAGTTGATCAGCTCACCTCTGCTTTTATGATATTTTTTTTCGCCATAATTTAATGAATTCGACATAGAACTATAACTCATTTACTTTTACAAATTAAATTTAAAAAAAAAAATTAAGTACAACGATCTTTACTCCTTCCCTCTTTCCGCTTACGATAAAGCACTTTCTGACCCCAAAAGGGAACTTATGGTCGTGGAATCAGATGACGAGGTAAAATATCATCTTATAAAAATTCCTTTTTTTTATTCATTTCATTTAACGAAAATTGCCTATCTTAAATTATAATTATCGACTTGCCGCCTCTTTATTTACCACCTTCCTGCGCAGCCCTAACAAAAGTAAGACGTGTCTCAAGGATGAACTCGTATATCTATAATTTATATTTTTGAGATGGCAGGTCAAAGAGCCCAAAAAACAATCCCATTTAGTCCAATATTATATAAAGTATTTATACCAGTTTTTTTATTATTTTATTTTTTTAGCCTATAAGAGAATATGTAGCCGATAGTGAAGTTGACAGTGATTTCGAGTTATCGGATATTGAAGTATTTTATTTTTCCAATAATTTTCAATTAGTAATTTAAAATATTAATAAAAAAACTTAAAATTTGTTTGTTGATAGCATTTTGCACAAATATAAGGATTCCGATTTTTGGTGATTTCAATAATTTTATATCATATTAAAGGGCTATTATAGTGGTATTTAATGAAAATTTAAATTATGGTTTTAGTTTAATAAGAGATATATAAAATTAAATATAGTGTATTTTGGAATTTTGCATTCCTAAAGATGGCCAATATCTCAGGTAGCAAGATAAGTTGGGTATATTTTTATCAGTTTGAGTATAAACTACCATCATGCAAATTTTTTTAAAAGGCAGGGTCGGGTTTTGATATGTAATACAACATATATATAAATCTTATTTTAATAAAAAAGGATTTAGAACAATTGAACGACATAGGTGATTGGAGAACTGACGTAATCAAACAAAAACAGTTACATACTGATCCACCTCAAAAAAAAATGCACATGAATGATCCTTTAGGTAGTTCTGATGAAAATAGTGAAAATGCTTATGGTAACGATAAAAATAGTGAAAGAAGGAAAAAGAAAATTATAAAAATTCACATCGAAAAAGAAGCCACAACTATTAATTCGAAATCAAGAAGTAGAATGATATCACGAAATATATAATTGTCATTTTACGATAAAAACCTGTAAATGTATTTATAAAATATTTATGCATGTTTTTGTGAATTATATTATCGAATCGAAAAAAATATAATACTATATAAGATTTCAAAATTTTTATCCAACCGTTTTCAGAGGGCCAGGTTTTTATTTCAAAACTTTTTATGATCGATATATTAGAAAACGATATAGGGGAGCTGACTAGTGTGGTTAAATAGTTGGTATTACTAGACCACGATCCTGGTTTTTGGTCTAAAAAATGAACCATAATCGACCCAAACAAAGGATCGATCTGGTCGACCAAATCCCTAGATCCGAGCACCAACCCAAAACCAAATTATTATATTTTATTCTGAATATCTCAATCTAATTTTTTTTATGCATGGAGGACGATTATTTCAATTTTCTTATAATCTGAAAATATTGTATAATTTTTACTTTATACTAGCGTATGTATGTGTAGTCGGGAACCCAAATTAAAAACGAGAGAGTACATTATTTAAATAGAAACAATTATCGCCTTTAAAAAATGTCATTTTCACTTTTTACTGAGGTATAAATGGAGCCTATTATAATGATTAATAGAGGGAATACTGTTTTACCTTTACATTTAATAATGCCTGCCCTTGCAATGATTGTAAGCAACCTATTCACTGTCTTTATTGACATATAATCGCTCCTTTTTGTGAGAAAATTTTTTCAACTTTAACATCAAAAATAACTATTTCATCAGAAGCACTCCTATCATAATTAATTACAATAATTTATTATAGTTATGTATTGTATACCTTTGGTTTGTGTAATTTTATAATATAATAAATTCAAAAAATAAACTTATAGTGAGATTCAAAGAATACGGCAAATAAAAGATTTTTAAATTTGTGCTTCTTTTTATAATTATATTATATTGCAAAAAAAAATTTTCAGACTCAATTTTTAATTTATATAAAATATATATTAACGGTTTCAAATGGCCTATATTTTTATTAGAATTCTGATGATATTATATTTATTTTAGATTAATCTAATATTATTGAAGGTTTAATCGAAAAATGCTCTATCCATCCCTAGAACACCCCCTAATGGAAAATACAGTTACCAAATCTATTTTTTAAATTTTGCAAAAGTTTCATAACTTTAACATATCTTAATATTTGTTAATTTTTGAAATTGTTGGGACACAACCTTAGTGAGATATAAATTTATTTATAAGATAAAATAGATTTGAATATTCAATGAGTTATTATAATATGAAACAATAAAGTATATAAATAAATAAATATTTATTAACAAGTTATTAAGAACAAAACTGATGATAAATATACAATTTCGATTAATAGTTTTAGGAATAGGAAGAGATATGGCTAGCAGAACAGTAACTAGAAAAATAAAATATATTTCCAGGTGATGATGCCATTGATAAAGCCTGCATATAATTTGCATTTGAAAAAGCAAATATAAATATCTCCGTACCTGTTTAAAAAAGATATAAGAAACAATTTTTTTAAGTAAAAAAATTTGATTTTATCAAAATATATCCTGGTATAAGTAGACCACCCCTCTCCTCCTATGATTTCAAACGAATATAGACTTTTTGCACAAATTAAAAAAATATATCAAATTTTGTAAGGAAATTATCTGAGAGATTACTCATTTTGGAATGGGTCTCTGGTAATATCAGATCTAAAATTTAAAAATCTATCTCATAAGATTTAAGATTGGGATTTTTAATTCCTCATATTTAGACTTTGGATAAATCATAATTTCAGAAAAACATACGAATTAACAACACTGCAGCTGACTACTATATATGTTTTCAGCGCATATTTCAAATTTTTTTCTGTGCCAAAAATAACTAATGTAAATTAAATTAAATTTTTTTACCCCCTCTCCAGGAAATATATAAATTAAGGTTATATTTCCTTTTTTAAAATAGAAATTTCTATTATTTATCCATTCAAAATGGAAAATTTCTGAACAGAAAATAAAATAGATCTACCAAAAGAGGAAAAGGTTTGATCAAAAGATAAAAAAAAAATACCAATAGCTTTTTTACCTTTTGTATATTTTAAAAAATTATTAATAATTTTCTTTTATCATTTATGATTATTTTAAATTTTACTTCATATTTCATTTTCCTTGTATTTTACCACTTTATAATTTTAAGTCATTATTTTTATATATTTTTGTAATCCTTTCTCGTTTTTTTTTTAAAATTATTTTTTTTTATAATAAAGATTTATATTATTTATAAAAAGGAAAAGTTTTTGTGTAATTGTAAAACGATTAATATTAAATGAGGATTATAAAAAAAAAATTAAATTAAATATAATATTGTTTTCTTATATGTGAATTTTACAATCAGTAAAAAAATAGAGATTTCAATTAAAAAAGAAGAAAAATCTTATAAATTTTTTTAACTTTATTTTTTGTTAGGTTTTTTTAAAACTTTTATAATTTTTAGTTATATTAATTTTATTTAATTTTTATACTTTTTAATGATTGTTGATTTAATTAAATTTAATAAATTAAATTGCTAACCTTGATCTCAATTTATTAAGTAAATTTGGGGGTTATAATGATTTTCCCTTTTATTCTAAACGTAGAATTATACAGTTGATGTTGAATTATATATGTAATATGCACTTAAAACTTCAAATTTACTCAAAATAGGAAATTCTATAAAATAAAGGTGAGAGAGAAGATAGTTGAAATGACCATAAAACTTAAGCTAAAGGAATAAGATCAATCAAGATATGCAAATAGTCGTAGACGTAACGAAAGAGCAAATCTTAAAATTCAGTTAAAAGCAGCACACTATTGAAAGAATATAGAAATCTGTTGTTTTAGTCACAAGAAATCGTTATCGCTACAAGAGTTCGTTATGATTACAAGATATCATTATCGTTACAAGAGATCATCATGATTAAAATAATGCACTATCGCTTGATATATATAAGCCACGAGACATAATGATAGAAAGCGAGAGATCGTTAAAAACAAGTTTGACAAAAAAGGTATTTAGAAGTTAACTTGAGGATAGCTCGGTAATGTTCTAAAAACGGGTTCCAGAAGCCTCAAAGATCCAAAAACTTAAATTAATTGATAATCATATAGTTAGATATCTTGTATTGACTATTAAAATGGAGTTAAAACAAATAGTAAGAGTTCAATAAGCTAACCATTTGTGTCTCCCAGTTCTTCGCTATCCCATACATAGACCCGATTATAACAGCCGAATTGGTCAAAAATGATGAATTGCTATAACTTTTCAGATTTTTGGTCTTAGGGCCCCTAGGCTATTAGGTTAAATATTTCTTCCCAAATCAATGAGGTAGTGAATCCTCTTTTATAATTTTAAAACCAAATTCCTGTGTTTCGAAATAACTATCTTAGTTTACTCTGATCTCTTTTCATTTCATTTTTTTTAAAAAAAATTCATTGTTTTTCTCCCCGGGCTTGTATGTTTTTTTAATAAATTTTTTATATTTAATATAGTTTTTATATATCATGCATGTTACTTTTTAAATAGTTTACATTTTTTTTTTATATTTTATTTTAATATAGATTTTATATTATGTTATTTATAATATATTACTTAAATTAAACAAAAAATTTTTAAAAAAAAGAGAATAAATAGTTTAAAGATGAATAAAGTGAGTTGAAAAAGTTAAAAAATATTTTTTTTTTATTAAAATTAAGATGATGACAAAAAATAGATTTAAAAATGACATAAAATTTAATAAAAGATCGCTATTAAAATAAAAAAAATAATACCAAAAAATTATAGAAAAATTTTAAAGAAATAAATTTCAGGATGGTTAAAGCTGGCTAAAATAATTTATAAATTTATTAAAATAAATGTATGATAATTAATTTCAATTTTGAATAAGAATTTTTCTTAATTGATTGACACTTTCCTCATTTTAATTGACCCTTCCATATTTGATTGAGTCCCCCCTCCCCATTTTCGATCTGATTTTGTTCATTAGCTATTAGCTTTTGGTAATTTTTATTTTTTTTGAATCGGATCTTAATAAAAAAATTTCCCCATTTTCGTTCCTTTTTCCGTTTTTATTTGGAAATTAATTTCCTCTTTCGATTCGTAGTATGAACCTATTTCTTGAGCAGGAAACCCTGCAGATTAATCAAAACTAAAATAAATTTATCAGCTGCTTTCATGTGACCATCTATTGGAGCCGGATCTACACTGGACAGTTGAGAAATAAAGACAAGTGCTACTTTCTTAGTATTTGTGCCCGCGTTGTTTAACATGTTATTTTCCAAGTTCTAAAGCAGTGGCGATATCGACATTGCGTTCTTTGAAAGAAAATATATTTTAAGAAATTTATAATTTTATTTGAAAAAAATGAATCGTACTTAAGTGCTACGAATCCGGGAAATATTTTGGCCGGGTTAGGATAAGGTTCAAAACCAGATAAAAATAATGAGCCCGGATAAGTTCGAGCCAGAGATCCGAAACTGAAACAAATATCGGTTTGTTTCTAGAATGGTTCGGGGTTCAGTCAGATTCGGTAAAAAACTCATATCGATTTAAACCTCTAAAAACCTGTTCGAACTCTTTTGTATACAAGCTTTCATTAGAATTATCTTTAGAGAACCCTATTTTTTTTGAAATTCATCATTAAAAAAGCACATTATAATGAAATATATATTTTAGTCAAATTACATCTATATAAAGTATATATTTTAGTTTTGTCTATAAAGATAAAATTATAACGCTGTGCAGAATTTTGATAAAGCACATAAAAAATCAATAATATTCAACATTACACATATTTACCCTAAAGGTGAAAAAGAGCAATGCACAAACATTTATAAAGATTGTGACTGAAACATTGTCAATCAAAATTGACTGTCTTTAAAACAATTCTGATATAAAATAGAATCTATTAATAGCATTCCTACTTTATAAACCTAATATTTAGGTTTAAACAAATAGATTTTTTAGGGTCGATTTAGGTTCGGATAAAAGCTCAGGTTAAGGTTAGATAAAAAAAAATAAGGTTAATGTTTAAAGTACGGTTTAGGTTAGGTTTGGATTCAAAAATGTAAATCAAATTTTGAAATTATTAATATTTTATTCAAACTCTATAAGAACCAATCAAATATATTTTTAGAGGGGGTAAAGCTTTTTTTTAAAACAAAGAGCCTGGTGCTAGGTTTGGAAATTTTGAAAAATTCATATTTAATTGAAATGAAAGTTATCAAATATTCTTCAAATATTTCATAATTTTTGGAAATAACCTAAAGAAAAAAATATTATGAAATATTAAACTTGTTGTGGAAAACGTTGTCGTCGGTAAAATTGTTGATATTATTGAGAGAAATATGAGGCCGCCTTCATTTTTAATACGACTTTACGAGAAGTACCATAGGATGCTATGCCCATAGTGGAGACTCCTGGACCTAAACGACTTTTGATATATCTCAAAAATAGAGTTCCCTATCGCATATTAAATTATATTATATAAAATAAATAATAATAATTGCTTGAATAATTATAAAGTAATTTCTTCAAATGTTATATTATAACGACTTTGCTTTTATGAATAATTTAATTTAATTTTGACCATATACATTCTCTCTTATTTTTGACGAACGCGTTTTTTTAAAACTTTTATTCAGATTAATAATCAGATGATATATTTATGTTTTGCTCATAATTACTACTGAGTATTTCGATCTTAATTCTTTAGAAAAAAATTAAAAAAAAAAATTATATTATAACAGATCAAGAAACCAATAGTCACAGCACAGAACCAAACATTTTAGAATAAGAAGTGTTTGGGTTATTTAATGTCTACATAACTACAACATTACTCATATTGAAAAAAATGATATTTTTATCCTATTGTTAACCACTATTTGACGAATTTTAAGTGGGATTAATAAAAGTTAAAATAATTATTTACCAATCACATACACTATTTTAATCTTTTTAGATTTATGTAAACCTCCATATATATATGAAGATCAAATACATCCGGTATTTAAACTTGAATAAAATAATTTAAAATAATAAATATATCATATTTATAGAAAACTCGTAGAAAACCTTAAAAAAGGTATATGCTTCTTCAGAAATGTATAAGCTTCAGAACAAAAAAAATATATTCTGAATTTATTTTTTATGATAAAGAATTACTAAAATAAATCGCATGATGCTGTCTATCAAAATTGTCTTTGAAACAAAGAATAAATCATTAAATATCATAATAAATTTCCAGAAATAAAGATGTGTCTTGGTTCGAAATTTTGATAATTATTCCTGTTTAGCCTGAGCTAAACTGTGTTTAAACTAGGACACCTTAATTTGGTTTGTTTTAAGTGTTTGATGTTATTTTTTGTATTAATTTTTTCTCGCTTTATTTGTAGGCTCTTTAGTTGAAGCTATATAGCCAGATGTTTAGTAATAAGGTTGAACCAGGAAACAATCCAAGACCTTAATTTATCAAACAAATAATACAATGCCATCCTTAGCTAAGCTAGAATGACTCTATTTTAGGATAGCAAATTTACTTTTAATTATAAAAAGTTCTTTGCTTATCGGGTAAAAATTTTGAAAAAACAACCCTTACACAAAAATTAATAGAAATTTTTTTTTACTTGATATCATTTAATAGATGATAAATATTAAAAATGTAATAACATGTTCTTTTTAGAATATAAACGCGTTCCTTTCTTTTACAAATAAATTTTAAACGCTAATCAATTTTTCCGATAAAAAACGAACGCAAATGAATTCGTTTTTCTTCTTTCTTCCTTCCTTTCTTTCTTTCTTTCTTTCTTTCTTTCTTTCTTTCTTTCTTTCTTTCTTTCTTTCTTTCTTTCTTTCTTTCTTTCTTTCTTTCTTTCTTTCTTTCTTTCTTTCTTTCTTTCTTTCTTTCTTTCTTTCTTTCAGGCCACCAAGCCAAATACAAATCGACTTATTTATTATTCGTGTTCATAAAAATAATAGAGAATTTACTATTATGTAACAATTCTTTTTTGTTAATAGGAAACTCTGTATGTTATAATCAAAACTTAAACAAATTTACCTTGTGATTTCATGAGAGTAGCTATTGGACCCGGATCTACACTGGACAGTTGAGAAATAAAGACAAGCGCTATTTTCTTAGTATTTCTGCCGGCGTTTCTTAACATGTTATTTCCAAGTGCTAAAGCACCAGCGATATTGACAGTGCGTGCTTTGATTAAAATAAAAAATATCTCAGAAACTTATAATTTTATATTTTTTTAAAATGAACCAGACCTAAATGCTGCGAATGAAAAATATTTTGGCCAGGTTTGGATTGGGCTTAAAACCATATCAAAATCGTAAGCCCAGTTCAAGGAGGCAGGCATCCGGACCTAAACTAATATTGGTTTGGTTTGGGTTCAGAAAAGGTGTTTATATTCGGTTATATTATTATATTGGTTCAAAACTCTAAAGACCGGTTTGAACTCTATTTATAAGCTTTCATCAGAATTTTATATTTAGAGAATCGTATATATTTTTTAAAATTTCATTATTAATTTAAATCAAATTACATATACATAGAGAAAGTATAAATTTTATTGTTGAAAACATCTTTCATGGCTAACTTGAATTGAGAGTGTATAGCATCAGACAATCAATAAAATTTAGGGAATCTTCCCCCAAGAGAGCTACCTAGTTGGCTTTAGAAAAAACATAGCTAATGCTGGATTCGAACCCAGAACAATCGGATTATGATATACGCACGAAAGAAAGAAAGAAAGAAGAAGAGAAGAAGAAGAAAGAAAGAAGAAGAAAGAAAGAAAGAAAGAAAAGAAGAATAGGCAGCAGATTCTACACAAAACATCAAATTTTTTTGTGTATAATATGATTACAACGCTAACTAGTATTTTAATAAAACGCATCAAAAACCAATAACGTTCAACTCTATACATCTTTACCCTCTAAAAGAGCAATGAACAAACATTTATAAAAATTCCAACTAAATTTTTTTTCTAATATAAATTAGAAATCTAGTAATAACATTCATACTTTATAAGCACAAATTTATGAGGTTCAAACCATTAGAATTTTTATCGGTGAGTTTAGATTCGAATAAAAACTCATTACGATTCAGGTTCGATAAAAAAAATACAGGTGTTGTTAAAAGTCTCGGTCCTAATAATGTCTGAATTCAAAAATGATGTTAGTTAAAATTAATAACATTTAATTCAAACTCTATAATAACCAATAAAATATATGTGTGCTTACTCAATTTTTTTTTTAGATAAATGAATGACCGGGTGGGTAAAACTTTTTCTAAAACAAAAAGCGAACGGATAGGTTTAGAAATTTTGAAAAATTTATAATTTGATTAGTAATATTTAAAAAATATTCTCAAATATTTATGGACATAACCTAAAGAAAAAAATATTACCTGCTTGGGAAATAGTTGCTGTTGGCGAAAAGTTGATAATACTTGAGTGAAATATGCGGCTTCCCTCATTTTTAGTAAGACTTTGCGAGATGTACTATAGGATTCTATACTAGTGGACAATCCTGGGTTTAAGGATTGTTGATATACCTCAAAAATAGAGTTCCCTATTGAATATTATATTATTTAAAAATAAATAGTATTAATTATTTGAATAAATATAAAGATGATATTTTATCAAATCGACTTTTTTATTATGGTATGATATTATTTAATTTTGAGAAAGAATGATAAAATAATAGTCAAAGTACTTTTTCATTTTAGAAGAGGAAGATAAGATAAGAATTTGGGAACCTAAGGCCTACATAACAAAAATATCCGGTCGTATGGTAGTTGTTTAGCAAATTAGGAAATTGCTAAATGTGGACTTGGCATCATTTAACATTCAACCTTTTATTTAGGCCACCTATTGAAAAAAAAATAACAAATACAAATCGACCCAATTTATTATTCGGTGTTCATATAAATAATAGAATATAATATTTATATCATCATTCGAGTCGTTCAAAAGAATTCAAATACTAATAATATATTATTCGATTCATATTCTTTTTCTGAATAGGCAAGGTTATATTGAGTCAAATTGTTTAAAAAATAATCATATATTCCGGGGCCGGGCTCGGGGCGGGTATGAGCCGGGACATGATTAAAAATAAATTTTTTTATTACAGGGGCTAATATTTTAATTTATAAAAAAAATAATAATAGTATACATAAACTATTGCTACTCCACAATCATATTCAAGATATGAAGGATAAATATCTTCCATTATAGCCACTACGTCAGCAGGGGGCTGAGCTGCAATTAGACCAACATACTTTATAGGGTCAAATTCCGGGACTTTGTTAATGTAAGTTTAATAATATAAAAACTAATATTAAAATAAGTGGTGTTGTTAAACGACTCGTTTTGAGCATATTTAAAAAAAACGGCTAACTCCATATCTCATCCAGAAAAATATTGCTTAAGCTTTAAGATTTTGATAATATATGCTTAAACCTTTGTTCCTTTTATGAGCAAAATTTTTAGGGCTTGCGTAATATTTTTCTGGATAGAAATATTGTGTTAGCCGTTTTAAAAATTGGAACGAGCCATTTAACAAACACTATAGTATTAGTCTAAAATGTGTAAAACGTGAAAATGGTGAAAATTGATTATTTTATGAATAATGCAAATAATTTTCTTTAAGTAAACAAATTAAAATTTACACAATAGAATTTAGGATTCTACCAACTGATCGATTTTATGAGATATCTCAATTGGATCAAATATTAATTCGCTAATTAATACTAAATTAATAAATTATCATTTATTGGCCTTTTTGGGTCAGATATTATTGTTTAATAACTTAATTTGGCTTACTCCAAAACTTAATTGTGGCGCAGTCAAGCTTTTAGACTAAAATATTGAATAAAGAGGCTAAGCCGTTTGGAGTTGGGCCAAGGTAACGAGAATTAAGTTAAATTATTTTTTGTTTAAAAATCTTGATTAGCCGTTTTTCAAAAATCTGTTAAATTGTGTTTTCAATATATTTTTTTTTACTACAATCCGTAGAAAACCTATATTTAGCAAACCCTTTTAATTTCTAGAATCAATTTAATAAAAATTCCTAACAATAATAAGATTAGAAATGTAGCCAGAAGGGAGAAAAAGAAAATCTCCCCCCCCCCCCCACCCCAGATTCACTTGTTAGTCATATCTGATTCATGTTCTCTGCCGTTTATAAGATAGCTCTTAAATATAATTCTATATAATTTATTTCTACTAATAACTATGATTAGGCAAAATTTCTAGAGTGTAGGTATTATTCAGAAAAGAGATAAAATTCGCTTAATATAATTATTTCTGATAGCTCTTATGCTATAAGAAAAAAGAAACTGCCCAAGACGCACCCAACCAAATGTAGGCTACGATATCAAGCGGTTGCCTAATTTTTTGGATCTAGAAGAGCCTACTTTGAGTGCTCTTGGAGAAATATCGGGATGGTTTGAACCAAATATTTTATCCGAGTCATATACTTTATTATTCAATAAGACAACCAATTTCCTTTTTTGCATTGAAATGTATATAAATAATATTTAATTGTAACAACAATTTTGTTTAATATTTTTCAAAAAAATAATATAGTTTTGACGGAGACTATGAGAATCGCCAATATAATTATATTGCAACTTCAAAAATTAAGAAATATTGATCATGAATTTCATGAGATTTTTGTTTGAGGAGAATGCCATACTATATGAATTTGAGATTCGCTAGCCTCGGGTTCTTGACTCAAATTCATAAAAGACTTGTGGTTTACCAAATGGCCTTATTTAATTTACAGATTTCACTGTCTATATCTTTCTTTAGGAAATATTAATTCTTGATCTCAAAATTTTTTTAATTTAGGGGCTATTATTGTATCTGAAGGCCAATTGATTTCTGAATTTAAATCTTAGTAAGAGAAATTAATTCTACTAGATAATATTCCAAGAAACGCAATGGAGGTATTGCATAGTTTGAAATATTTTAAAGTTTTTTTTAAATATATTAACTACTATATATTTTAATTTTGGCAACATCAATAAGCACAAACATGAAATGAAAGAACCTTTTCGTTATTAAGGAGAATAAAAGCCTATCTTAGGAGTACCACATTATAAAATAGGTTAAATGGTTCAGCCTTACTTAATATTTATCGAGATTTAATCCCAAGCACAGAACAAATTATTTAAAAATTGGCGCAATCACAAAGACAATTAAATATTTCCTTATGAACCATATTTTATTTAACATATTTTAAAAAATCCAGGATCAAAAAAATTCTTGACTCAATTTGGAATTGTATAATAATTCTAAATTAGAAATTTTGGGGACCAAGTCAATTGCCTTGCAACTACAAACAAATTTTATAACGAAGATTATTACAATAGAGAGAAATAACTAAAGCATTTAGTTTCAACCATAAAATTTGACAGATCCAAAACTAGAGGATGAAGGAAGAGAACTTAGTTGTTTTATAATGCATTCAACTTTAAGCCTAAAGAAGGTGATCTTAGAAAAAAAATATATTAAATGTATTACGTTAATTTTTTTTAGAAATTCTTAAAATATTGAAATAAAGGGCAATAATCTTAGACATAGGCTGAATAAATTTTTATATTTTGTTTTGTCAAAATCGCTTATTAAGTATATATTCCATATTATGTAAATATTTTATTTTTTATAAAATCACTTACTATTTACCAGACGTCTTACCGGCTCTAAGTAGGGGATCGAATTTCTACAACCTCGTAGCCAAAAAATATGAAAATGATTTAAAAAATGTTTTATAAAAATATGATGTTTCATTGAAAAATATCCTATTTTTTAATTTAAAAGTTATATTCTATTTTAAATTTTAGTAAAAAATCGCGGATGATCTTGCAACAACGTAGTAAGGCAAGCGTTATTATCGACCAAAAATTTTCAGGAGATATATATATGATTGATTGTTTAGACAAAATCAAAGTTATTTGATTTAGATTCGCAGGTCACGATTTGTGCAAAGGAAAGTACATCGTTACTAATGTTGCTTCTATTGAAAATTATTATGGGTTTGCTTAATATATGAGATTTGAACATAAACATAATTTCGATTAAAATAATATTTTTATTAACTTTTTATATAGATAATCATAAAATGTTTATTTTCATGATATTTTATAATGATTATTTACCTATCGGGCTAAATAATTATTAAATTTTTTTTCATTATGCATAATTTATATTCACGCCCATTATTATATTATTTGTGTTTGAAATTTTAAAAGTGTAGTTTTTATAAATGTTATATGATGTTTAGTTCTAATATCTGTTTAATGTAAAGTCTCAATATTTAAGAAAAAACACTTTTGGTATTAGTTTTCAGAATTAGAGTTTCCAAAATTTGGGCTCACTTCATGCTTACAAGATGACCTCACGCTTTTAATTTTATATATAAACTCGCTTCTTTTTTTTGTGGTTAGGGTAGGTTCAAGAAAACTCTGCTAATAAGGATTGGTAAACCTCTTAAAAACGTTATTTCCCAACCCCACCCACCACCTGAATAAATTTTTGCTACGAATTTAATATAAATTACAGAAATTTTACTATTAGAAAAAACTAAAATAGCTATATATGTATAAATAATAGAAATAAGTCCTGATCTAAACGGTGGTTAGTTTATTAAATAGAATACTAGGAGTAGAGTATTTATTTTCTGTTTAATATCAATTTAAAAAGATATAGGTTACAGTGCAAAATTAATCCATTCCAGAGAATGATGAAATATAAAATTTATAATGGGTTAGATGTATGCTTAGAAACAGAAGGACGAAGAAGGAGGCATGTTCAATCCTGGTAAGGAGCATAAAAACATTCATGTTTTTATTCGATGACTGATGTGTAAAGACATATGGTTAGATGCATTTCGGAGCTTAGAGATGACACCTTAGTTACCGACAGGCCTGGACAGCCGGGTGCTAAGTATACCTGTCTAATAAACAAAATGAACGAAACAAATGCAAATATGAATATGAAAGCTAGGGCGTTCCCTCCAAGCGACGAGCAGAGTGCAGACCTCCATCCCGTAAAAAGTAAAATAAAGGTCAAAGCAAAGAGGACAAGATTAGCAAGTTTGAATATTGGGATTGGCATCAATGTTGAACAAGAGAAAAGTTGATATAGCGTGCATACAAGAGACAAAATGGAAGGGACCGAAGACTTTGATGATTGGAGATGGGTATAAATTGTACTATAATGGAATTGTTAGCAATATGAATGGTGTCGGCATCATCCTCAGTCAGGATCTAACCTCCTCAGTAGTAAAAGTCAACAGGATCTTTGATAGACTAATGAAGATAAAACTCTGCATTGGTCAATCAATACTACACATCCTTTCAGTATATGCTCCTCAAACGGGTTGCAAGGAAGAAGAGAAAGATGAATTTAGAGCTATCCTTGATGAAGCTGTAATGGAAATCCCTAAGGATGACCTAGTCATAATTGGTGGTGACTAAATGCGCATGTCGGGAAAGCAAAGCTACAAAAGGCATCATGGTGGTTTTGGATATG